AACAAGTTGTAATATAATATATTACGTAACCGACAATGTTATCATTAAAAACAACTAATTAACTTTCAGTAAAGGAAATGCCAATTAATATTGATAGCACAGCGAATTTGTGCGAAATTGTTATGATTTATATACAATGTATATATCTTATAGTTAATATAACAGCTGTTAATTAAGTTTTTTGATAGCGTAACTCTTGATCAGAGATATTTTTATTGGATACTAGGTAGTTACTCTCGCTTGGCTCAGGTTCGTCCTTAGTGATAATCAAAAACAAATATATCCTACTGGAACTGTAAATTTTTCCGGGATAAAGAGTAATCTATGTACTATTCCAGACTATAATATATCTCTGTGCCAAATTTCATCCAGATCCGTTCCCGTTCTGGCGTGTGAGTAACAAACATACATCCAAATTTTCGCATTTCTAATATTAATGGGGTTAAAGTTGATGACTTTGATTACAGGTTTTGTGTTTTTTATAATTGAATATGTAATTACACAATTTTCTTTAATCTGATTTAATTATTAGAATATTTTTATTTTCAAGAAATGCATTTGAAAATAACGAATTTATTTGACTCATAACACGGTAATGTAATATGTAATATTACCGTGCTAATAAGTTAGAGTTTTACATTTTTACTATTTAGTTAAAATAGAAGAATTAAAGAGCATAAAATTGCACGTCCTTTCACAAAGTCGAGGGTAATTACAAGTTATTTATAACTAATATGTTATCTAAGTTATGTCGCTGTAAAGTTTTTGAAGTTATACGTCTTTTGGCACACACCGACAGCCAAAAAGCGACATGATGAAATTAGCTGCATTCCTTAACAGAGAGTTGTGACATACGGGATGAAATCTTTAGCTATTTTTGTTCTGTTACGCCAAAGAAGTATAACTTCTTACTTGCGTACATATGTACACAAACAACATTTTCTTTACAAACAACTAGTGAAGTACCTACCAAAGTAAACTTTTATCTAAGTTATCTACAGTAGCTTTTTTACACCTCTCTTTTAATAGATCACTATAAAGGCATGCAAAGATAAACTAAAAGATAAGACAATAAACGTCAATGGCGTTATCAAAGTCGTAAAATTACGGTTTTATATAGCTCTTGACACTGGGTCACTGATAAGCTACTTGAATATGAAGCTGTCAGAGTAAAAGAGGTCTAAACTTAAAATGTTGTGAATTATCTTATAATATCTATACTGTATATTATAAATGTGTAACTGATCGCTGTCTGTACATCGAAGGTATTTGAGAAAAACTATTATTGGAGATCTTTATTAACGCAATAGAATTCAAAAATATATATTTTTTAATTTTTGTCTGTCTGTGCGTTTGTGCGCGCTAATCTCAGAAGCAGCTTAACCGATTTGGGTGCAATTTTCACTAGTAGTGTAGTAGTGATTCTACTTGCTGTTCCAACGGTCGCGGGTTCGAGTCCCGCTGGGGGCATTCATTTGTGTGATGATCACGAATGTTTGTACTCCAGTCATGGGTGTTTATATATTTTATAATATGTAGGTATTTAAAGTTATATATATGTAGTGTATCAACTATCTGGTATCCATAACACAAGCCTCGTAGCTTACTATGGAACTAGATAATGCTGTGTCTTAATGTCCCGACATATTTATTTATTTATTATTATTAAAAATTTATCATTTTTCTTACAAAGTGGGGGATAGGATGTTTTAGCGTTGTGTGCTTGAGTTGCATTTTATGTTTTATGTAAGTGAGATGTTAATTTATAACGAATGTTTTCTTACATAGTATTTAATTAAGTTTCTGGGTTACAGAAAAAGATTTTTTTTGTTTTGCATGCGCTTAAATATCGCGAGAATGTGTTACAAGTTTTTTTATTATTATAGACTCCTACTGAGTAAAGCCAATCCATACTAGTATTATAAATGTTAAAGTGTGTTTGTTTGTTTGTCCTTCTTTCACGTCGAAACAGAGTGACGGATCGGCGTGATTTTTGGTGTGGAGATAGTTGGAGGGCTGGCGAGTGACAAAGGCTTTTTACGCGGGAGATTATCTCATACCCACGTTATATAGTATATAGTCTATGTATTCCATAGTAACATTTAAAACGTACCTAGAGACGAACCCTTTTTTTTTTTGTTTTCGCTGGGGAAACCCATCATGGGGACCCTGCCGCCGTCATGGGCAGGGTACTGTGAGACTCCTACTCACTAAAACCCACAGCGGAACCCTTCGCCGCAGTGCAATGGGGCGTGCAGGATCGCTTTCGCACTCACTGCAACACCCCTGCGGACGGCCCGTACCACGCGGGCCAGCCTTGCCTAAATCAGGATGCCCTCGGTTCGCAGGGCATCACGACCGCCCCGATGACGTGCAGGGGAGTCAACGAGAGACCCCCTCGCGGTAGCTCCTCTAGGGTGGCGGGAGAAGATGCGCATACCGGCGCCTCCTCCCCCCCAGCCGACGGCGACGAAGAGGGTCTGCTAAGGCGTTAGCCTCGCGTTCCCTCTCCGCCGTCTCCTTCAGTGAGATGACGGTCTCACTGAAGGAGACCATCGCCGACCAGGACCTCGCGTCGCGTAGCATGGCCCCCACCACGCTTCGCAACGAAAGGTCTCCACCCACTACTGCCATCAGGGCATGGCGCTGGGGAGTCCATGCGGCGCATACCGCGAGGGTGTGGTGCGAGGTGTCCTCGGACGCACCACACTCGTGGCATACGGGCGACGGTTCCCGACATGCAATCTGAAACAGATACTTACCGAAGCACCCGTGCCCGGTAAGCATCTGCGTCAGCCTGAACGTCAGGACGCCGTGTGGCCTCTTGACCCAGCGAGACAGGTACGGATGAATCGCACCCACCGTCGCCAGGCCAGCCGCCGGAGTCCCCAGATCTTCCCTCCAGCGCCGGATCAGGGCCTCGTCAGCTAGGCGCCTGATCCGAGCGACTCCCTCCCACGCCGGACGTTCCCCGCGCCCGCGCTCACTCGCCCGAAATTGGTATACTTCGGCGAGCACCTCCGCCTGGAGTTCCCAGGGCGGATCGCTCGCCATAAGCGTCGCCGCCTCAAAGGACACCGTACGGTACCCCCGTATCGCCCTCACCGCCAGGACCCGCTGCGCCTTGCGCAATTGGGCCCTGTACCTAGAGACGAACCCTAGCGAAGCATGTACCTATGTAATATCTCTCACAATCAGAGAGAATCTCAATAGTGTTAGGAATTATCCTATAGGTACCTTATACATAAGCAAATATACTTGTTTGCACACATTGTGAAGATTTATAAAAAAATATTTTTAGTTTAGGCAATATGATGTTATAAAATAATGTAACTTAGCCTAAATTCATTCAAAATCTGATTGAAAGGCCTCTAACATTATTAATTTATTATTTTATAATTATTATTTATTACATTTAATAAGGCCTAAAAGAATTAGTTATTTAATAAAACGTATTTACAAAACACGTACACCTGACAATTATTACATCGAGTAACACAAGTGGGTTACAAACTAACAGAAAAAAAAACTCGCAGACTACACGCGAAATGCTCGTTAAAGTCGTCACAAGTCATACGGAACCTGTAACATCTACATTGTTTATTATAAAACTAATGTAATCATCGTAATAGCCCTTAAATATATACAAGAGTAGATATACATTTTTTTATAAATTGCGCAAATGGAGTCGCAATTAAGCTCTCCTTTTTTAATTCATGTTGTACCTTAATTCGATTTTCCGAATACTTCACTAAATCGATTTTATTTCGATTGTTAAAAAGTATTAATTTAGGCGTCGTTTTAAATAATAATTGTTTGTATATCAAAATACAAGGAATCTAATAAATAATATCTATGATAGGAGTAATAGAATATAGTAGGTTACAGATGTTGTGGAGTTTATTTAAAAAATATTTTATTAAATCGATATTTAATAATTTAATGTATCGGCAGTATCATAAATGTCTTCTAGAATAAAGTACCTACACCTATATATGTCAACTGAACGTACTGCTACAATTATTTTCTTTTTTATTATCCGTAGGTATTTTCTACGTCTGTGTCTAATAAAAATGTTTCCGTAAAACGTCATTATTGAATAATGAATTTATATTTTTTTTTATTCCTGAGAAATTCTGACATACCAATGACAGCTATTAGACTTTATAATCTTTACTGTTGTAGGTGTCATAATAGATGAATTAATTGCGAATTGCATTACTAGCTTTTGTCTCCCGTTTTATATGTTTCTTTTTTGTTTTTTTTTTAATAAATAGTTTTTTTTGTTTAACCTTTATTTTTATATTTTCGAAACGATAAATGCTAATGGTTAAAGTAAGCGCTATTTATAAGTTTCATTCGTAAGGAAATATAGGTCGATATCATAACAAAGGTAAAAATTTAACACCTCGCGGTTAAATTCTAAGAGATTAATTGTTAACCGATCCATCTGTGGCTCCGCGTGCTTTGAAAGGTTAAATTTTAGTCTTAACAAAAAAATAAGTAAATATTAATTTAGACTGCTTTTGCGTTGAGAGCATCAAAAAAAAGTACCTAATTATTCAAACTGTCTGAAGCTCTCCACTCGAGCTAAGTTACCCAAATACTATATACATACATGCATTATGTGCAATTAGTGCTTCTCTTTGCAAACGTGGGTGGCACGCGGTGACCTTGTAACGACGTCCGACGTTTGTTCAATTATAATTACAATGGCCGTTGCTACTAATTATATGTCATTTGAAAGTTGGAGAATGTCAAAATGTTATAAGACATTTAAAAATGTAAATATTTTCATTAAGTCAAACTTTGCCATTATTTTAACGTCTCAATATATAGAAAGATATTAGAAATGCAGTTTTCTTCATTCTGCTATCTTTGTCATGGCACCTGCTAAGTATTTGATACGTAATAGCGAAATAGTGCAACATAGACAACATTGAAAGTCTATATACCTACCGTTATTTTTATGTACACTAGTGAAAGAAACAAAACCACCGATGAAGCACCCATCACATGAAGAACTTCATGTAGGTACAACATTTTAACACTCTTTAAAAAGTAAACTATTGAAATTTCATTTGGTTTCGATTAGATAAGTAGTTACTGCATTATACAAATAATGTAAAAAAAATGTCAAAAAGAAAAACAATGTAATTTAATCCGGATGTTATAAAAAAATTACTCATTTTCTACAAAATATATAATTTGATCTTATTGATTATAGGTTGGTAAGAATCCTAGTCCAGTTTCATTAAATTATCTATCAATTTAAAAAAAAAATAGCATACGTGATGCATATGAATTAGGTTCTACAATTAAGCAACATTATAATACGCTGTTCCCTTCTCATCAACGTTAACGTCAACGAGAACGTGCAATTTATAAAATACCCGCATTATTTCTTTCCTTACTTCATAATTCTTTGTAAAATGTATGTGTAAGTGGTTGATAGATTAACCGGCCGGCGGTCGTTTAGCGGTAATCTTTGCTTAATTTAATTTTAATAGCTGTACGCCATTACAAGGATACCCCGTAGTACACAGTATGTTATTTGCGAGCTTTTAGAACTTGAAATGTTACTGAGATTGCGTTTAATAAATGATGAATGTAATTTATTATAATTATAATTATAAGTATTTGTTTAGGTTTTAATTTCGTTTAGACATTTGTTTTTCAATAATCTAATTATTTTTATATTTATATAATTTTTGTAACCTATGAAAAGCTTTTACCTTTGTGAATTGTTTCTTCAAAAGTTTTATATATAAGCAATGAAATGATTAATTATAAAAATGTTCATATAATCAATGAAGTAGGCTGTATACATATAAGATAATATATAGTATTACTTTAAAAATAACCTATCAACATCTTTCCAGGTCCAGATATTCCCGGTTTCTTACTCCAACCATTCCGCAAACCAAAAAGAATCAGGACTGCGTTCTCTCCATCACAACTACTCAAGTTAGAGCACGCGTTTGAGAAGAATCATTACGTTGTTGGCGCGGAAAGAAAGCAATTGGCACAAGCCCTAAGTTTGACTGAGACGCAGGTGAGAACTTCATTATATGAAATGAAACTTTAGTTAAATAGACTTATTGCAAGCACTTTTGAATCGGCAATTTAAAGAGCGTCAGTGTACTCAGTTCGTGAGGAAGCTACCACCGGCTCGGAAAGCATTTCTGCTGAGAAGAGCCGGCGAGGAACTCAACAGTTGCTCTTTTAAATATCGAAGTTACATTGATAAACATGTATTATGTTATGTTTAGATATCCATCCATATGATATATCCATATGAGTCAATATCACACAATTCCACACATTTCCATCAATAAGAAACTCTTGAACAGTGTGATATTCTTAATTTTATCTTTAAATTTTTGATAAGGTAAATCTAGGACAGTTTGTGGAATTTTATTATACACGCATATTTAGGCCCATGAAGGATTTATTCATCTTTTGAAGTCGAAATCTAGGCATAACAAGCTTATTTCTATTCCTAGTGTTTATTGTGTGTCTATTATTGTTGTATAGGTATTATTTATATCTTAGATATAATAAAATTGTAACTAAGCCGAATATGTACACTAAATATTTTTTTGAAAATCTTATTGATATAGATATTATTATCGATAAAGAGGCCGAATCTGTTTTTAGAATTTTTGTCTGTCTTTCTGTCTGTTGCCGCACCACAGAAAAACCACTGGAGGGATTTTGATGAAATTTTGTATGGTGATAGCTGCTTATCCCGGTCCACGACATATAGGATACTTTTTTTTTTGGAAAATACCTCATTTCTGAGAAAAAATACAAAAACTGCTTTGTAAGAGTATACTCATATGTAAAACCTAAGAATTTGCTTTTTGGTCCTCTGAACGCGGGCGGAGCTGTAGGGAATGCTAGTCTATCTTATATATTATTAAAAATGATTGTTCATACGTTTGTCCTATATGCGTTCCTAAACCATTGATCCGATATAGATTTATCTTTGGACGTTTGTCTTTTATGCGTTTTGAGCCATTCAAGCTTAGGAACGCACCCGAGCTAAGCGAGGTTAAGCTGCTAGTATGTTATATTTAGTAACTGATTTTAAAGCACAATCATTACAGCCGTTTCCGAGATACACGAAATAAATTTACATACATACAAGAATTGCTCATTTAATATTATAAGATACATATTTTAAGTAGTTTTTGAGATTTCATGTTCAGTGAGTCGAAGATTTTTAGCTTTTATAGATACTCATCTATTTACCGATAGACACCTACCTGTTAAAAAATATTTTACCTTATAAAATTAATTTGCATTAAGTCAATTTGTAAGTGACTTTTATGCATATTGTTCGAGGGTTTTAACAGCTTTACGTGAAGTAAAGTTGATTAGTACGGACGTTATATTATTTACGAAATAAATTAAGTAAAAGCATCAACACTCCTTTATTGCCCATAAAGAATAAGGAAACTACGAGGCTTGTATGGTTATTAAGAGAAATAGACGCTAAACTTGGTGTACATATATCGTTAAATTAACGAATAGTTTCCTTTATCGTTTGCGATTTACTGATTATTATTTTTCATTTAACTAGTGTAGTCTATGTGTTCTGAAAAGTATTTCTAATTTTGATTGTGCTTTTACGAAAGTATAGCTTAAGTATAATTTAAGATTATTGGAGAGTGTGTTAGATTTATATTTAAAACTAGCCATTCACCCTCGCTTCGCTCGTGTTCATCCTTAAGTACGTTTTGACGCTTAGTATGGAATAATTTTTTTTTTAATTTTTTGATTTTTCGTTAATTTTTCGGATATTTTAATAGTTATTCTGCTATTCGGGGTGAAGACAAATCCACTAAACAAACATCATAAAAATCGGTCTAGCAGTTCTCGTGTTACAAGTGCTGTAACAAACCCGACTTTGTTTTGTATATATAAACTAGCATTGCCCGCGGTTCCGCCCGTGTTCAGATGACCAAAAAGCAAATTCTTTGTTTTACATATTACTTAGTATACTCTTACAATGCAGTTTTAATATTTTTTCTCAGAAATGACATTTTTCCGCGGTAAAAAGTATCCTATATGTTGACCCGGATAACCAGCTATTACCATACCGAATTTCATCAAAATCCCTCCAGTGGTTTTTCTGTGATACGGTAACAGACAGACAGACAAAAATTCTAAAAACTATAGATTCGGCCTCTGTATCGATATTAATGTCTATTTCAATAAGATTTTCCAAAAAATATTTAATGTACAGATTCGGCTTAGTTACAATTTTATTATATGTAGTATAGATTTGTTTTTATTTTCTTTACTACTAACTTTACCTTATGGCCTGTAATATGGTATATTCTTAACGGCACGACCCATAGAAGCGAACTAATTGTACATATATAAATGAAGCGAGCAAAGTCGTGGGAAAAAGCTAGTTATAACAGATTGTTTATAAAATACTAGCGGCATACCTTCCCTGAGGGTAATTGGTTTAGGAAACTTCTAAGGCGTAGGTACGCAAAATCCACCAAATTTTCTCAATCGAATTAATGATTTAGAAAGGCATATAGGATGAACATACAAAATAACATTCATTCTTTTATATACAAAAAAAACAAAGTGTTTGAATACACGTATAAAGGATAAAATAAAATTAAAATTTCTAATACTTTATTATCTAATATTTCAACAGATACCTATTCATACGCGTAATATTACTTTATCGCGCAGTAACGAGCTGGGCAATAACTACTGTAGCTCAGCTGTAAGGTACCGTCTATTAAATGTTTAGATCTTGGATAATAATAAAATCTATACATATAATAAAATTCTAACTGAATCGAATAAATGTACATTAAATATTTTTTTATTTGTTTTCATTTTTTTATTACTTCGCTCGGGTTAGTTAGTCCCTAGGAATGTTTTAGCGGTTAGTATAGATTTCTCAGAGATGAGATATTTTCCCGCAGTAAAAAGTATCGTATATAGATCCCGATAACCAGCTATTATCATACTAAATTTCATCAAAATCTGTCTAGTAGTTTTCTCGTGATTCGTTCCCAGACAAAAATTTGAAAACTATAGATTCGGCCTCTGTATCGATAATAATGACTATTTAAATAAGATTTTCCAAAAAATATGTACAGATTCGACATAGAATTTTATTATAGGTATATATAGATAGAGAACGCAAATCAAAATATATACCTATAAACCCAAATTCTTCAGTAAAACATACTGCGTATAATTTCTTTTTATTATAGCTACGTTTTTCATGAAGGTCGGTTATAAAAAAGGAAGCAAATAAAAATCGATAGATTTTACGTATTTAATTGGAAGCGGCGTTATAGTAATGAAATCAGTGGTATCAGTTGTTTAATACATGTAATATAAAAACTATAAAAGATTATAATTACGTTCATTAGGCGTTGCGTGCGTTTAGTACTGATAGCAAATATGTGAGTAGATCAAGTATAGTATATTTTATTATATTTGCAAGCGTTAGTCGGGTGAAGTGGTAGCCTAGTGAATCTAAGTACATGGTCGCACATTCGAACATTATACTCGTATATATGTATATATATTAGCGTTTTCCTGCGACTCCGCCCGCATAGTAGATTAATAACCAACATATCATATACTAAAACCTTCTCCGAAAAACGCAGCATCTTATGGTATGATTATTCCGATCGGTTTAGTAGTTATCGCAGTATAACTAAATAAAAAAAACGGCTCTTCATTTATTAGTATAGATTTGCCAAGTAAAGACATAAAGTAACATTTACAAAATTAGACCATTATTTTTTCTATATTAGTAGTAATATTATAAAGAGGAAAGATTTGATATTTTGCTTGTTTGTTTGTACCGAATAGTCTCCCAAACTACTGAACTGATTTAGATGTTTGGTAGGAAGATAGTTTGAAATCCTGGAAAATTACATAGGATAGTTTTTATCTCGGAAATCATTCCTTAAGGGGATGAAAATGCGGATGAAAATTTGTATGGAGAATCAAGCTACGGAGAAACCCAAGCAAAGCGAGAGCGAGACACTAGTATAATATAAAAGTATCCAATCAGATTATAGCAATTGTTATACTAAGGTAATTTGATGTGTTTCCTTAAATACTCTCTCCTTAAACACTCAATGACTGATGAAATGTAGAGTTTCAAAACATTAAGAGATTTTTATAGAATTTGTATACCACCACCCTTGAGGTATAATCTATTTAATTAATTAAAAAAGAAATTTTAAATGTTAATTTTAATTCATTTATTTTAATTTTTAAATTTATTTATTTAATTAAAAAAGAAATAAAAAAATGGTTCACAAACACAAGTAACATTATATATAACATATCGCACAACAACACATAATATGTACATTCAAATGAATATGAAATATTTTGAAGGTAGTGAAAGAGTCAAGTCAAAAACAAGTTGTTTTATAGCAACTACGAGTATGATTAAAAAATAATAGTTATTGTATACAATATTTCTGCGAACCATACAAGGGACACGCCCTGGTGTGGCCGACAATTAGCCCAGTTTCTTCAGCATTGATAGCGTTCACAGCTGAATGGAAGCAATGATTGCGGTTTCACTAAAGTATGGCATTGGCTTACTAATGTGGCTCTCGTTATCAGTACTAGATTTTCTTTTTAAAGCTAACTAGTTGATAAGAGATCTGATTTTTTAACTTCCGACGCAAAAGAGGGGTATTGTAAGTTTAACTTGTGTATCTGTGTGTCTGTCTGCGGCATTGTAGCACCCAAATGTATGAACCGATTTTTTTTTGTTTGAAAGTATTAAATGAAGGAAATCCGTTCAGCCTTTTGCAGGCTATCGGCTGTTATCTAGACGGTAAAGGGATATGAGCAACTTCCACAGATTTAATCCATTCGAAACTTGGTATCCCGTTACTTCAATGTCATTGCAACGATATGGCAATCTTGGCCTGATGCTGCAGCGTCACCTGGAATCTGCAAGATACTCAACTCTTGACTAAAATACTGCAGAGATATCGTGTTTTAGGCTTATTGAAATGTTTTCAATGAATGGGTTATTGGGTTGGTTTTTTTTAATATAATTTTTTA